AATCCTTTAAAAATATATTATTATTAATAATCCTTCCCTACGCTCACCTGGGAGAAGATCAGAACTCTGTGACCCCCATCCCGTAACTTCTTCAGCATCTTTTGGAGCAGCATCAGTTTCCCTGAAGATTTGACCAAAGAATTGCCGTCGTAGGATCCATTGGGCAGAACCGGAGCTTCCTGCAAAGGAATCCCGGTTATCCACTTCGAGGACAACACTCCTTAATGTCACAGAGAAATCCACACGCGTTTCAAGGACAAAATCTTTGCATGAAACCACTCACACAAAAACCTACACCGTTAACCAAAGCGAGACCACGGGAACAGCCCCCACCAACAGCTCACACACAGTATTCTGAGCAATGTCTCCAAACGCAGCTGACGTACCACGGCTGCCACGGGGAAGAGGTACGGGTGATTGCAGCACTTCTTCAGGTCCATCATGATGTTCAGCAGCGAGACCTGGTTCCCGCCACCTTTCGAATTCAGGGCTTCAAAATTCCTCGTCAGGATGAACTTGTAGTACTTCCTGCAGGAACAGTGGTGGGACAGACACCCCTGTTAACTGGGCCAAACACGGGACTGCCACAAGCAGGACAGCACTGAATTAAACCCCACTGGTGTCACTGGAGCTTCAACAGGGACATGGGGACATTCTTAAAGGTGACAGTCCAGCACCCTCAGCCTGGGCCGGGTTTATCCCATTGCTCTGTGGACACCACAGCCCAGGAACAGGAGCAGGGGGTTCAGCCTCGGTGTTTTCTCTGCACCCGCAGCGCTGGTAGAGCCACGCTGACAGCCCTCCCTGCGTCAAACGCATCCCGCTGAGCAGCCAGGACTGCACCGAGACAATTTAACGGGCTGACAGTGCTCCCCGGTGAGACACAAAGCGCTCCAGCTCCTCCTGCAGCAGCCCTGAGGACTGCAAGGTGTCTCCAACCTGCCAAACCCCATGGACACCCCACCGTGCTGCAGGGGAGGGGGCGAGGGAAGCCAGACCCCTGGGGAGCTGCGCTGGAGTTACTCACTTCTGCATCTGGCTCAGCTCCACTCTGACGATCAGCTCCGTCTTGGCCGGCATGTTCTTGAAGACGTCGGCCTTGAGCCGCCGCAGCATGTGAGGACCCAGCAGATCGTGGAGCTTCTTGATCTGGTCCTCCTTGGAGATGTCTGCAAACTCCTCCAGGAACCCCTCCAGGTTACTGCGAAAGCGCCAGAACCACAGACTGAGCGATGGAGGGACAGCGCGAGCAAAGACATCTGCTTCTTTATCACTTAAAACGAGGGCAGAGCTCTCTCGGTCCACGATGAGGTAATGCTCCCGTGCCTGGATCCCAGCAGAGCAGATGCCGGACGGAGGAGCTCCACTGACGGCGGAGGGGAAATTCACACTAAATGCACCAATAGGACTTCCCCAAAGCCCCTCTGTCCCCTCAGAGAGAGGGAAGAGCCAGCAGAGTTCAGTTCCTCGCTCACAGGTCTCCTGACCCACAGCAAGGCAGGAGCTGCCCGCAGCAGCCCCGGGAACACATCAAACGTGCGTGTGGCTGCTCCGGCAAACCAGCGCTTTGTGTCTGCCTGCCAGCACAGACCAGCAACGCTGGCACAATGCTAACGGGATCCAGGCACCCCACAGACAGGAACCCCGGGAATCTGCGAAACCTCAGCTGAGCCCCTGGCCAGGGACAGGTCCCGGCTGCTCGCCCTGCTCGGAGCGGGAACAACTGCGACTTACTTAAACCTCTCGGGAGTCAGGAAATTGAGCAGGTGGAAGAGCTCTTCCAGGTTGTTCTGGAGCGGAGTCCCGGTGAGCAGCAGCTTGTAATCGATCTTGTAGCTATTCAATACCCTAAAGAACTGGGAAAAGAACCGAGGTTAGGTGAAAAGAGCTCCGAGGAGCCAGTCAGTCACCGGGGAGCCCGCAGACTGCACACATGGAGACGCAGCAGAGACCTCTCCCCCCGGCTCAAAGGAGAAGGATCCATTCCCTTCCAGGACAGCCATCAGAGGGCTGCCAGGCTGCCACCTCTCCCGCTGCTGAAGGATTTTTAATGCCAGAGGATGTTAAAGAGAACAAATCCCCTGAAACACGGGTGCCAGGCAGAGCCTGCGCAAGGTGAGAACACCTTTCAGCTCCCAGGGAGGAAAGACGGGGCAGCAGACCACCAGTGCTGGGGTGTCGCATCTCTCTGGCACTGGCCCCCCTACAAAAACCACTCAGAAACGTCTGCTGCCTACCTTGGACTGGTTGTTCTTCAGCCGGTGCGCTTCATCCACCACCAGACAGGCCCACTCGATGGAGCCCAGCACCGCCTGGTCGATCGTAATCAGCTCGTAGGAGGTGAGCAGGACGTGGAACTTGATCTGGGCTTCCTTCTGCAGGAGCAGAGGGAGAGAAGAGCCTGGATCAGAGAGCAGGGAATGGGACAGCCTCCAGGACAGCCTCCACCTCGGCTGCTGCTGTGCGTGACCCAAGGAGAAACGCGAGGGCTGCCCCTTTGCACAGGGGCAGGGCTGGGGCACGAGCCATGCCAGCAGAAAATCCACATCCACCTGCTGTCAGAACCAAGGAGGGGACAACAGACGCAGAGAAGGTTCTGCCAGAAGTCTTCAAAGCTCATCACAAATCTCCTGCATTTGTAAACAGGGCCAGCTTCCCTCTTTGGAAAACACCTGACTGGGGACCCAACCAACCTCCCTCTCCAGGGCAAATTCTGCTCCCTCTCCTTCTCACTGATGGTTAAAGCACTGGGCACGGCACAGACCGAGCTCCCACCTTCATCCGGAAGACCTTCTTTCCACTCCGGATGGCGTTGTCTTCAAAAGAAAACTCATTTTCCCGGATGACCGACCGGCTTTCTTTGTCCCCCGTGTAGGTCACGACGTAGAAGTCAGGTGCCCACATCTCAAACTCGCGCTCCCAGTTGATGATGGTGGAGAGAGGGGCGCTGACCAGATACGGCCCTTTCGAGTGGCCCTGCTCGGGGAGACAAAGCCCAGGGTGTTCTCCCTGTACTGAGCAGCTCTCAGCTGCCTCGGGGACTGCGGGGTGCTCCGCTCACCTCCTTGTACAGGGAATACAGGAACACGATAGTCTGCACGGTCTTCCCCAGCCCCATCTCATCGGCCAGGATCGTATCCGTCCCTTGGGCCCAGGAAAACCTCAGCCAGTTGAGCCCCTCCAGCTGGTAGGGATGGAGCGTGCCCCCCGTGGCATCGATGTACCACGGCTGCTTGTCAAACTTCACCCTAGGCTGAAAAGAGACACAACACAAAGCAGTGAGAACCGACTCCCCTCCTTTCTCTGCGTCCAAACACATCCCTCTTCAGCCTTGGGACACCCAACAGCCCCAAAAGAGACACAGACACGGTCCCCAGCACAGCCCAGCCCTCGCTCCTCACCACAAAGCAACCCTGGAGCTTTGAATGAAAAAAAAAAAAAAATCAGGAAGGAACTATAGGAGAAAAATGTAACAGGAGGGGGTGTCCAGGCAGAGCTCCCTGTCTCTGGGCTCACGCCCATCGCGCTGCCCCCACCACCCTCACTCACATCCACGAGAGGTGTTTCTGGAGGTTTCTCCAGCTTCTCCTCTTTCAGCTTTTTCCCTTTCTTGTTCAGCTTCTTCAGAGGGCGCGTGTCCTCCCCCAGCATCAGCTCCCTGCAACAGCCAGAGCATGTCAGGACAAGGTCGGCAGGCAGGTCGCTGCCCATCCCCAGCTGAGGAGCAGAAACACTCTCAGGCTCCGCTGCCTTCTCCCCACGGGAAACCACCCCGCTGGCTCCTACCTGTGGTTCCAGTAGAAGAGTTTGAGGTTTTCATAGTACGGGATGTCTATCTCGTCGATCTCCCAGGTGCACTGGTCGTAGGGCAGGTCCTTCCACTTGATCAGGTAATGGATGTCTCCTTTTTTGTCAAAGCTGTAACGCAGGGCACAAAAAACCACTCAGTGAAACAGTACCTGACCCCCGGGAAGCAGTGAGCTGGAAACTGCTTCATCCTCGGCTCTGACCTACAGACCATGGCATCTGAGCAGAGGCAGAAAAACAAAGAACAGGGTGGGCATTGATTCACTTTCTAACCTGAGAAAGCCACCAAGGTGACAGAGGCCTCAAAACAAGGCAGCGGCTGGAATTCCAGCAGCTCCGGCCCCCCGGCATATGCCTTTCCACGGCCCATTCATGCAGCTCCTCACCTGTGGTTGAGGATGCGGTGGATCATCATCCACTCGGGCTTGATGCCGTAGCGGTAGAACCGCTCCTCCATCTTGGCGTACTGCGGGTCTTTGTTCTTCCTCTTCTCCCTCTGCCCGTCCTCGTCCCCGGAGCCGTAGTCGAAGGCGGGCGGCTCGTCCATGTCGTTCTTCCGTTGGTAGTTGCGGTACATCACGGTGTGGTAGAGCTCCAGCTGTGGCACGAGGGAGCCACCGTCA